ACAGTGTAATGGAAGGATCTCACCAAATGCCTCCAATGTCAACCAAATTCCCGTTTTCATTTGACGTTTGTCAGCTGTATGCTTCTCTCTGGCACTTGAAAGTCCCCTACTTTTCTACATACACCAACGAAGTGCCACTACAGGACATAAAGTGATGGATAGTCAGCAAAATGTGGGAAGCCTGGGAAGCAGAGTGGTGCCAATCCAAGGGGTAAGTCACTCAGCACATTATGCCGAAATTAGTTTCGGCACTGCTTGGGCGCATCCATCGGCAGACCTTCGGCACAATCTCGCAGGCATTGGATTGTTGCAACTAAAATGGGAGCACTGCTGGACAATTGTCATTAAAGTTGTTCACAACATCAGCACGTAATGTTTGACTGTATGTTCAGGAACATCCTTTAGTAGAATTTACCAAAGGAACTCAGATCTAAATACGAAATGTAGGTTCTAGAGTGAGCTCAAGAGGACTTAATCAGACCCCATTAGTACCCTTTATTTAAATAATGCTGCAACTCACACTAAACAAACTACCGAAGTCATATTCATCATCCTCTATAGTCGGTCTCCAACAATGTTCCCCACCGGTTTCGGCCGCTGAGAAACCGTTGTTTTTCACATCGCTAGGCTTCGGGTCTACCTTTGAGGGCATTATAATACGCTATAACACAGGACTTTTACTATCCTATGAACACAAAACACCAAAACATTCAAAATACCGGGTTGCCGGGATGGGTATTTTACAAACAATCGCAGCTTGCTCTATGACCGGCAACATCGGCACACATGCGGTACACTGACAAAAGATTGGTGTGCGGAGTGACCTACCCCTTGTGCCAATCCCAATCCTAAATAATCAAAGGAACGACGAGCAAGTGGACGGATATGTCGAAACTCCGGGACCAGAAGGTGGTTTCTCGTCTTAGGACAGGCCATACAAGGATCTCACATAGTTTTGGTGGGACGCAGTTCCACAGAATGTGCTACGTTTCTGGAACCACTGCATCGGTGGAACACATCCTGTACCTGTGTCCGCAATACCAACATCTACGGGAGCACCCAAGTAACAATTCTGGTTTTATGAGGGTTCTGTCGACCATGATTTACACTTGTAGAATGCTATAAAACCTCTATTAAACTTGCAATGTTACTTGGGCAGTACGCACTTCCCAACAGGATTAGGGACATACTGGGCGACGAACCTTCCACTTTAGCGACAGTTATTTATTTCTTCAAGGACGCTGGGCTATACAACAAGATTTAGGTCCTTTTAACTTTCTTTTGGCTGATGGGACATCTCTGCCAGACGGGGGTTTACCCCTCCTACGGTGGAGCTCCGATCTCTTTCAGAACCCTACATAACTTTGATGTACCAGATTGCTTTTATTTTTTCGTTGCCTGCATTGTTAGTCTTTTACTGAAATCTGTTTTAATTGCTTCTAGTTGAGTACATTTGAATTGTAAGCCAACTCCGTTACAAAATTTGCAGGCAGAACCCCCCTCTGGGGTCTCCTATTTTATAGAGGTGAACTAGCCAACGGCTTAAAATCTCTCTAACAAAGACAAAAAAATGGGCACTCATATATTGGAGTTGCAGTGAAAACTAGATGTATGAGTGCTCTTTGCAAGATAGCCTATATTACATGATATAAGCCATAGTCTGTACGGGGTATAGGTAACATTGTCTTTCTTCTCTAGAACCTCTTCCTTTGATATATTTTGTCTTCGATGCGTTGATGGCTGATGTCCGTTTCCACCATCGTCTCAAAGTTCCGTGCCAATCATCAACGACGAATTCAAAGGTGTGATGATGATCGAGCTTTGGTACAGACGATGATAGGTCCATAGAGCTCCTAATTCTACGACTATAAGAACTTTTGAAATCCAGGAACATTAAGAAATGCAAGAACTAAAGGATGGAACTGTACCAAACCTTAGAAATCTTGATAATTTCATACTGCTATCGATATTGCTAAAACACCACAATTTTTACGGCTCCACAGCTTAAAAACTTCCTGCATTATTGAGAACTACAAAAACTCTCAAATTTTAGGAAACTTTATCCTGAAACATATAAAACTCCTAAAAATTCTGATACTCAGCAACTCTCAGTGCCCCAGGATCTTCTCAATCTCCAGCAAACCTTTCGAACTCTTGGAGCTACGACTGCAAGGGCTGAAGATCTCCCGGAGCATTTAGATCTGCAAGAACTCCTTAAACTCTAACAAATAGTTCTTAAGAATTTGGAGGAATTCTGTTTTTGAATGTTCAATATTTTCACCGCTATGGAACAAGTAAATTTCGGAGTCAACGAGTTGATCTACTCGTTAACTAAGATTTTTTGTCTTTGAGGCATTTTTACGGATGTCACTTCACGGTGGAAACTTTTTTTTTCCATTATTTAACGTCGGTCTCTGTTCCGCAATCTAGTGCCATTCACCGACGGACATCGATTGCCATCCATTGACGGCAACCGAATGTGCAGGAAGGCAGCTTCCACACCTGCGTAGGATATCGCACCCATTCACAACACACATGGGCCGGGACCAACGGCTTTACTTCCCTTCCGAAGGAAGACGTGACCAGAGATTATTATGCCTCAGAAAAATCCCACCGACCTCGGCTGGGGATTGAACCCAGACCCATTGGGGTGTTAGAAAGCAGTCACGCTTACCACTACACCACCGGTGCTGGCTACGGTGGAAACTTGTCACTTATTTATTTTATTTTTTATTTATTTTTCTACTTGTCTTCGCACAGACAGAACTATTAATGTCTTGTTAAAGAACTAATCCTATTTTTAAACATGGTTTTCGAAATATTAAAATCATAATCTTCACGCGATTCGTTGAAACGACGGCAGCAAACATCCAGTGGATTGTTTTGACCGTAGACTGTACGATGCTGAGGAATACGGAGAAGGTCATTTTGTCGCGTCTGCCTAGCCGGTGCATTGAACTGGATTTTCCCTAGAAGTTCAGCACAATCTACATTGTTGTCCAGAGTGTCGAATATGAACAGCCGTTGCAGAAGAATCCTTCAATCAGCCAATGTTGAAAGACGAATTAAAGCACAGCGATCCTCGTACGGCGGAAGAACAACCGGATCGTTCCATGGTAACAGTCGTAGAGCGTAGCGGACAAAGTTACGTTGAATCTTTTCAATGCGAAAGCAAAGCGTGGCGTGATACGGTGCCCATACTAGAACGCCATATTCCAGTATGCTACGCACTAGCGAACAATACAATGTTTTTAGACAGTAGGTATACATCCTCAAATTGCTGCGTGTTGCGCTTGTTGAACCCTTGTATCGCATATGCTTTGGCGGTGGTTGTTGCAATGTGCTCGGTGAATTTCAGCTTACTGTCCAGTATTAATCCAAGATCCTTGATTGATGACACACGGTTGACACTTGAAGCGTTCATCTTATAATCGAAAATGGCAGTTGTCCTAGATCGGTTGAACGAGATGATGTTACATTTACGGATATTCACTTCCATTCCGTTTAATGAGCACCATTCAAGAAGCGAGTCGATATCCATCTGAAGAGCGGCAACAATCGACCATGGAGGTTATCAGGCGGAAGAATTTCAGGTCATCAGCGAACATGTACTTCGGTGATCTGATGAGTCCGCACAGATCGTTAACAAACAGCACGAAAAGTAATGGTCCCAAATGACTTCCTTGGGGAACCCCGGAAGTAATTGAGAACGTTTCAGATGAGGTTCCACCGAGGCGTACAAAAGCCCAACGCTCAGACAAGTACGATTCAATCCATTGAGTAAGCCACTGAGGGAATCCCATGCGTTTGAGTTTTTCCACTGCCAGTGCATGCGGCACTTTGTCGAATGCTTTAGAAAAGTTGACATAAACTGCATCGACCTGTTGTCACTTTTCAAGGCTGTCCACAAGAGAAGAAACGTAGCACATCAGGTTGGTTGTTGATGACCGCTTCCTGACAAATCCATGCTGACTCTCTGATATCACATGTTGAACGTTACGATACAAAGAATTATGGACAAGACTCTCCAAGACTTTAGGAAAGCAATTAAAAATCGAAATTGCACGATAATTTTCGACGTCATTAACATTACCACTTTTATGAATGGGAGTGAGGGCTGCAGTTTTCCATTTGTTGGGAAATATGCCCTCCGAAAGAGATCTGTTGAAGAGTATACTCACAGGTAAAGCGAATGACTCCGCACACCGATTGATGAAGAAAGGTGACAGACGATCTGGTCCTGCTCCTTTCGAAGTGTCGATAGAAACCAGCTTAGCAAAAACATCTTGCCGAGAGAAGTTGTAGACGGTCACGTTCAAGTCGTAGTGCGGCAAATTGCTCAAGTACGATTCAGTCAAAGGTGGTCGGTTATTACTTTGCACACTTCGAAAGAACGCCGAGAACAGATTTGCAGATTCTGATGGAGATTCAGCTGCCTCACCTTGGTAACGAAGATGTCGAGGCATTCCGTTGGATCTCTTACGGGTCTTCACATATTGCCAGAATTGTTGGGGTCCTGTTTCAAACTTGCTTCAGTACGATGAATGTAGCAGCGAAAGCATTGTGCATGCAAAGAGTTATATTCGCTTTCTAAGTCACGCAGCTCAGCCTTATGCTGTTCATTCCTAGACCAAAAGTAACGCTTTCTTGCCCTGCGTAGGTCACGGTGAAGTGATTCCCAATTGATTTGTACAGCAATCACGGCTCTTATTCTGAGTATCACTTTCTTATCACCCAAAAGTTCTACTGAGTCAATACGCTCTGAAACGATATCTGATAATTAAATATCTGGCTCCATCGCAGGGGGTGCAAAGGGAGCTCTATAGAGAGCATATCACCTGCTACACCACCCTTCATACGCGAAAATAAAGCAAAGCATGCTGGAAGTGCTGAGTTTTCATCGCACCCAAAACAACTGGAAAAACGAATGATCAATACAGAACCTGATGCACACGAATTTAGTATATTGAATCGGTTATCAAAATAAAAACACGAATAAACACTTCAAATCACAACGCATACTTCCTCACATCGATGCACTTCTGCTGGGATCGTTTCTGTTTCCTTCGCTCTTCAAAGTAATTCGTCCTGTTGATGATCTCTTCGTCTTCACTGACATCCCCATCTAGGGGATTAACCTTCATTTCGACTGCATCATTCTCGGCAAATGATCCTTCGTTCCGGTGGTTCTCGATAGATTCTCGCAAGCGATGGTTTTCGGAAATCAGCTTCTCGATAACTCCTTTCAACTTCCTTCGGGCGGCACGATACTTCTTCAGATTCCGTTCCAGATGTTCAATCGTCGGGTTGGGTTGATTCGGTTCAAAATCCTCTTCCAAGCACAGAATATCTTCGCTCTGCTGTTTCCGAAACGTTTCGTTCTCTTTCCTCAAGGAGGCGTTTTCCGTAATCAGGTTCTCAACTTGACGCCTCAGCTCATCTCGGTTACGATGTAGTTCGGCGATGCTCTCAGTGCCAACGATTTCACTTCTCATTCGATCCATTTTCTCGGTCATCTGTTGCAAAGTGATCTCCAGCTGCTTATTCCTCTGACTCTCTGTTTCAATTATCTTCAGCCGCAACGCCGATTCTTCCTGGAGCCACTGATTCTGTGCCAGGAGCATTTGCTTCTCTTCGGTCAAGTCCCTCAACGCATCTTCTAGCTGCTTCTCAACATCGGTAGGAACAACTTCTCCTTTGTCGTCATCCTTTCGGTTGAATGTGCCTTCCCTTTGCAGTCGTTTCTCAGTATGGCCAATTTCACTGGGAACAAGTGGCGGTGGAGCTTCATCTTCAAGCCGGTCTTCAGTTTTCCCTTGATTCATGGGCTTCCCAAGTGATGCTGTAGAATGCTTCTTCTTTATGTACGAAGGAATATGGCCCAATTTCCGATTAATCACAGGATTTGGATCATGCTTCTCGCTATGCCCGGTGGAAGCTTTCCGATCAACGAAAACGCTACTGGACCATGGACGGCGCTCAGGTGGATTCGTTGCCCCACAGCAATGAGTTGCACTTTTCGGGCGCACCGGAATACGGCTACGGCTGCAACATGGCGAAGGTTTGCCTCTGGATAAGTTCGACGCTTTCCGCTCTTGGACTGGCTTCAAAATTGCGGAATCAGTTTTCGAGACAACCGGTTTGCGCTGCATTCTAACCGAAGACAGTATGACAGAAAGTAACCGGAAACAGCAGATGGCTACTGTGGTTTTTGTGTAGTTATTTATTTATTTTTTATTTATTTATTTCGTCAACCAACGTAGACTAGTACATATTAGAATACAGTTTTGTTTTCTTAAATTTATTTATTTATTTCGTCAACTTTGGAAAAAAGGTTGAAAGTATAATTTTTTCTTTAATAAAAATTAAGCAGTGTCAGCTTTCCTATTTTTTATGAGTTATAATGCCTTATGGAGTAAAAATATTGTTTTAGTTTATGCCGAGACATTGTAAAGTCAATGGTTTCGCAGTATTGATTGTAAGAGGCCATCATGCGGTTTAATGGCCCATATTTTGCATAATTTGTACGATGATGTTTTATGGCAAATAAATTTCGATTTCGGAGTTGCCGAGTGGGTGCATGGAAATTTAATTTTGATAAAAGTTCTGTGGAGTCAATGCGTTGCGAAACGATATCGTTTACAAATGAAACCATTGCATATTCACGACGCTCTTTTAATGTTTGTATGTTTATAAGCATGCAGCGTGCTTCATATGATGGAAGAGGAAATGATGTCCAACCTAATTTACGAAGAGCGTATAATAGAAATTGTTTTTGTACGGATTCTAATCTTTCTTCGTGCGTGATTGAAAAAGGAGCTGCTGCAATACAATGCTGCAATATTCCAGTATTGACCTCACATAGGCGATGACACGAGCAGTCCGCATCGTGCTCTCTTGCCGTGTGGATCTATTTGATTTATGCTGTAGGTACCGTTATGCCGCGGATACACTTGGATGACCTAAGGACCTAGGTGTGATTCTGGATACACAACTCTCTTTCAAGCAGCACATCTCGTATGCCGTCGACAAATCTTCCAAGGTTTATCTTCAAGATTTCCAAAGACTTCACGGATATCTACTGCCTTAAATCGTTGTACTGCTCCTTGTCTCGCTCTATATTAGAATACTGCTCGGTTATCTGGACTCCTCACTACAACAACGGTGTCGAAAGAGTTGAGTCTGTTCAGCGGCGGTTCCTGACATACGCGCTACGTAAAGAACCGTGGACGGATCCCTTCCGATTGCCTAGCTACGAAAGTCGTTTGCAACTGATCCATCTGGAGCCCCTGTTGGTCCGAAGAGATACAGCAAGGGTATTGCTAATTGCAGATATTTTGCAAGGACGCAGCCAATTGACATCAATGTTCAACCCAGTTAAATGCTGCACCTGCCCATACAGCGAACTAATTATAGCATGTTCAGTGCAATCGGCGGTTTACAGAGACTCTTCAATAGGGTCTCCGCACTATTTGACTTTGACTTGACACGCCAGCTGCTTCGTCTGAGGTTTAGTTAATTTTTTTCTAGATCAATTTAGTTTATCTAGAAATGATCCTTTTTTTACGGGATGACTATTGACTTGTTGATGTTTAGTTTTAGTACTTTTCATGTTTAATTTAGGTTACATCATTGGAGCCAACGACACCTGTTGATATTTAGTCATAAATACATAAATAAATAAATAAATAAATAAATAAATAAATAAATAAATAAATAAATAAATAAATAAATAAATAAATAAATAAATAAATAAATAAATAAATAAATAAATAAATAAATAAATAAATAAATAAATAAATAAATAAATAAATAAATAAACAAAATGATAAACTATGAGCATAAGCACTCCTTGGATGGTATTTTTACAAAAATCATTTATTGACATGATTACTGATATGCTAAAAAATAAATTTGCGAACAAAAAATGTTTCCTCGATTTGTTTTCTGTACTGAGTATCGATGCTACTGGCGCCAGGTAAGCAGCTCCTTCATCTAGACCCTTCATTTCGACCCATCAACTTATGGACCGGGGACCAACGGCTTTACTTCCTTTCCGAAGAAAGGCGTGATCAGAGATGGAGCACTTTGTGAAAACCGAAAATGGAACATATAACAAAATTATGAAAGATTTTGAACATTCATAATTCAGCTGCCCCTGGACCAATTTCAATAATTTTATCACCAATCGATCAGAATTATTTATTCGCAACGCTTGTAGTGTGTAGTGTAACATTGAAGATTTTCAACAAGAAACTATTGATGTGATTATTTGTTCACTGTTTTCATGAAATAAACGTTCTTTCCAAACCCAGTTGTCATTATCGAGTACAACTTGGTTGCACATCCGAAGTAACAATTTTGGTTTTATGAGAGTTCTGTAGACCATGATTTACACTTATAACATGCTTTAAAGCTTGGAATCATTCTGTTTTAACCTGAAAAGATATAAAAGAGCGCTGCAGTCTAGCCTCAACTCATGGACTCCAATAGGCCATACCCATAGCTGACGAGGCATACGTTCCTGTGAGGGGTAAGTTTGTTGCTATTGATTCCCACACCCAATTACTGATTCGGATGAGAAATATTCGTAGACGTCAGTTTCAGAGGACTGGAGATCTGGAAAAAAAAACTACAAGGGACAGTATATAATAAACGTTGTGTGTTAACTGCAGCAGGAGCGGGGTTCTCTCTGCTTACACTTTTTAGTATGACTTTGATTTGAAAAGAACCTTTCGATATGAATATGAATTTCAGAAACTTAACTCTCTTGGAAAATGTTGGTGGCCCTGAAAAGGGCCGAAATATTTGCACCTAGACATGGCTTCAAATTCTTCGGAGGCAACTAGTGTTGGTGGATAGAGCTCCTAGTGCGTGGACTTAATTTTCGTTCGAAACTTTCGCCTTGACAGTAAAAAGTATAACTCTTGCACTTTAAACCATCGCCCAATGTTGTCACTTTTCGAGTTGTAAACTCTGGGCATTTATCATCGTTGCCAATCTGCATCGTACCGGACTGTGAGCCAACAGCAAAGTCATGCTGCGTTCATCAGAACTCATCTGAGAAATCAAAAGACCCTTTTCAGGGTCACAAAAATTTTCTGACTGAAGAGTTAATTTGAATTTCTATCTTCTCAATGTAATTCTCGCGTCACTTATCAAATAGACCAATGTAACATATCCACCATTTTGGGAAAATCGAAGATGAAGTACGACCGATTATTATTTTAACTGTTTAGAAACAATACATTTTGCAATACTATTTCATAGGTAGTCAGTGAGCAATAATGTTGAAAATTCAGTAGAAACGGTAAAATCACAATTTTACTTTGAATTTCATGCTACAATATAGAAACAATCACATAGGACGTTTTGACTAGTCAAGTTGTACATCGGACATTGTTACATTGGACGAATTTTCTCAATGACATAATCAATGAGTGTTACATTGAACATTTTGTCTGCGTGATACTAGATTCCCTTTCACCTTCCCGTGACACTTATGAGGGGTCGTAGAGTTCTCTGCATCTCTCTTAAGTAAGTGTCGGACTAACATTCCTCCCCCATCCCCACCAGATGCAAGGACGTGGCCAGGACAGCTCTGGTCTGTTGGAGGGAAACACATCCTTTATCTAAGAGGTAGTAATTAATCACAAATTACTATCTAACAGCAACGGATGAGGATGCGCCTCCTTCTTAACAACAGTTTAGAGCTCGTACCACCTACGACATTGTGCAACCTGGTTTATGCTATGCTATGCTATGCTATGTGATACTAGATTCCCTTTCACAGATTTCAGAATAGAGTACCTAACTTTAGATTGGCCCCGCCTTTAGAAAATGAGCACCAATCATGTTAGGTAGTCCAAATGACCGGTAACGGTCTTCCGCTTGGCGCCTTCAGAGTAGGTAAAAGCGTCACGCATGACGTTTTTCAGCAACACCTCCTGCACGCCTCGGGTTTCCTTGTATATCAGACCGGAGATACGCATTATCACAACGAGCCTGACGACGGTCTTGGAAATACCCTGTAAATTATCATTCCTCCTTCGCCAAGTCCATTGCCTCCCTTGCCACGTCCAGGCAATGTTTATGCTGTTTAAGCTGCCTTCGGGTACGGTTGACAGGAAATCGATGCGAAAAATTTTCCATATAACTCTAGAGAGCGAGCTCAATACCTGCTTGACGGTCTAACAAAAAATGATGCTTGTTTTGACCATGAATACCTCTTTCATATCTACTCGAAGGCTAAATTCTTCTTACAAGTTGTTGCATTTTTGTTCTTTCATCGATTATGATTGGTTGAACATAACAAAAGTATGTTATTAAATAGAGGAGACAGCGGTTGAAATTTTTATTCAAAGTGTTCGATTCATCGTATCTGCACCGTAACTAAACACAATGGCTCGTACGAAGCAGACCGCTCGTAAGTCCACCGGAGAAAAGGCTTCTCCTGAAATCGCCTAGGACTTTCAAGACTGATCTGCGCTTCCAGAGCTCGGATCCAAGGTCCTGAAAACTCAGCCCAAACCCATTCCACCTCGCAGAGTCGAAAATGATGACAATAGGCTTTTAATCACCCCACAGGAGAGAGCAAATGCGATAGGCGAGCATGTTGCTTCATTGCATTTGCTTGTCTCGACTATCCAAAGTCCGCTCGATGATCAGGTTGCGCAATGCGTTCAAAACCTAGATGCCTCCCCTTGTGTCGTGCCTCCGGTGGATATGATTACAGTACAACAGATTTGCTCAGCGCTGAAATGCACCAATAACATGAAGGCTCCCGGGTTTGACGGTATATTCAACTTGATCTTGAAGAGACTCAACATGAAAGTGCAGTATCTTCTAACCGCTATCTTCAGCAGATGCTTTATCCTTTAGCATGTTATTTAATCATACAATATGGCCACAACTCAAAAAAGTAAACCCATTTTTCGGGACCTTCTGGCCTTAAAGTTAGTTCAATGCCCTTACCTTAACAAACCTTGAAATTACAGGCCTAACTGTTGATATCGATTCCGTTTTGTATGAAGCTTGTTGAAACAATTATCTGAATAGTAATAAAAGTAACAAATTTGTATTTACTACGAATCCTAGTAACAGCAAGATTGTCCCGTTGACAGCAGAAATGCCTAATCATTCGGGACATTTTTTAACACTACAACAATCCATTTGAGGGATACCAGAAAAAAAACAACAGAAAAGCCCTTTTTAGGGCCAAAAATAAAAAAAATATAGTTAGAATTATAGATCTTGAATAACTTAAAGCATCAAACCCAAACACTAATGCACCGGCCAATGCGGTCCTACGTCAAGTTTCCGTTCGTGCCCCAAGGCACAGACTTTACTTTTTTTGGCGTAGGACTACGCCTGTGATATCTTTATGGCGGTGCACTTTGTGAAAACCGAAAATGGAAAATGTAACGAAATTATGAAAGATTTTGAACCTTAATAACTCAGCTAGCAATGGACCAATTTCAATAATTTTATCACCAATCGATGAGAAACATTTCTACGCATCGATGCAATGCTTCCGACTGTTGATTTTAAACAAGAAACTATTGAAAAAGTGATAAATGTCAAGCATTGTCCAGAAGTGTCGAAATAGCTAATAAATCCACCAAATGGATATGCTGCTTCTTCAACACTGTCATCAGAGAGTCGTTAGTAGACAACATGAAAGTAAGGTACAATCCCAAGCTGCACACGCCCAGCAAAATAAGTTGCTGCAACTTGGTTGTGACTGAAATAAGTTGCATACAAGTAACCACAACTGTTAAGTGACAAGTGTACTACTTGGGATAATCACTGTAGGTATACAACATACAAAAAAGGGGATGAGTGTGCGTTGTTTAACGGGTCTAAAACAAGACGCTATCGTCTGAAGCGTCTGACATAACGGACTGTACAAGCTTTGCAGCTGTCTATTTCCTTTACATCCGATTAAAATCACCCGAGTACCGTTGTTGAATGGTTGTCTTTCAGCATCCCATCTTCCGCAGGGCACTAGCTCTAAAGCATCTGCCCTAGGAACTGTTTTTGTTTTCAGAGCATGCTATTTGTTTGGGGCATACACTTCGCATTTACTCAACGCACCGAAGCGCTCCAGCCACCGGAGGAGTGAAGAAGCCCGACCGTTACCGGCCAGGAACCGTCGCCCTGCATGAGATCCATCGTAACCAGAAATACACCGAACTGCTGATCCGCAAGTTGCCTTTCCAGCGTCTGGTTCGTGAAATCGCCCAGGACTTCAAGGCCGATCTGCGCTGCCAGAACCTATGTGCCATCCACGCCAAGCGTGTCACGATTATGCCGAAGGACATCCAGATGGCTCATCGTATCCGTGGTGAACGGGCCTAAATACTCTATTAGTGGAATCTTAGATAATTAAAACATAGATTGCTCAGTCGGGCATCCCTGCTTTTACCCGAAAAATAACATTGATAGCGCGCTATCTGTCGGCCAACGGGTGAGCTAAAAGTTTAGCAGCCGATATGGGTGCGCATTTCGAATCAAAACTGCCCTGCGTACATTAATGTTTTGATTGGCGCATTCCACGTCGGACGTTGAAAATTGACATTTTTTCACATCGGTTTTGTTTTGCTTTTTATTAGCAGTGTTCAATCTTAAGTGGTGGAGAAATATAAAGCCCTACAGTAAAAGTATGGACGACTGTCACCACAAAACTGAACAAAGCTGTTCCAATCGAGCAAAGCGGTGCATTTTGACGGTTCGATTGGATCAACTTTTGACAGACGTCCATACTTTTACTGTAGGGCTTTAGAGAAATATTGTCAATAATATTGATAATGTGCAACTATATTGTCATGAATATCGTCAATCTCTATACATTCCGATCCCGACTCGCTAAATTGAAAGTCAGCATCCATCGAACTAATGCCATCTAAACGTGAAATTTGGCTCGCAACGTTCCGATTTGAAAACGGAACAACTGTTGGTAGCAGTCTGCAGATAAGAAAAGTTTATAATATATTATTGCCGAATTTTTGCGTGTGACGGGGGGGGGGGGGTCTTGAAATTGATGAGAAAACTTCAAGTTGAGATTAATTCATTCATATTCAGTGTTGGAAAAATACCATATAATCAAATCTCACCAATGCCCATGCCCAAGATCACGCTTGATTTTCGTAGACAAAAATTAACAAGCAAACAACTGCGGTTGATTTTGCAAGCTGTGATGTTCCAGCTTGGAATATCAAGCTAACAATTTCTCCAAACTATGGTGAGATGAGTTTCATTAGTTTTGATTTACATCCGAACGCAACCGAAACTTCTATAACGACTGGTAGCAGTACCTTCGTGTCTGCCATCGGCGAAGATTTAAAAGAGATAGCAAACTATACTTTCTCTTTCTAAGATAACGATGTGAAACGGAATCCTTTTTGTATCGAGTCAGCTCTCAGCTTGATTTTTTCACGTTGTGAATATGCAATATCAAAGGAGCTTGTGAAATCAATATCAAGCATGATATTTTGTTCCAATAGTACGCGTGATATTGCGAGCGGAAAAATATTATTTGATTGATGATTTTGCCAACACTGCTCATATTCTTGAAAACGTAGTCAACTCATAGACTGAGTAAAATTTTACGAGATTAGAATCTCAGGCATTTTTTTCTAATATGAGCATCATCTCGATGTACACTCATAAAATAAGTCATATAACCAGTGGAAAATATCCATGTGAATTTCACATAATTTTCAAGGGATCCTATAATTGGAAATTGCACCATTAAATCATATGAACGTTACGTGTCCAATGAAATCTATATGATTACACACATAGAATTTCTCATGTAATGTGATATTCAGATTAAAATCATTATTTTTTGTTATTGGAAAAATAATATTTGCGTTCCTAATACAAACTAAATGACAACTTTTTTCAGTGAACATATGAAATTATTACACGGAAAAAAAGTTTTCATGTTGTTTCCATTGGGAATTACACATTACATTTTTCCATTAACAAAACCAATGATACCTATCTGAATTTCACATAAAACTCATGCATTCACATGAGTTCTATATGATAAATTTCTTAAATTGTGATTTTGTGGTGCGATTCCCAATTTGAGTAATTTAAACTTTAATTTGAGTCGATCTTATATATCATGTATTGTGGAAATCCGTTAGTTACTTAGTACTGTAGCACGCCAGCAGCGAGGGAACGAGCACATCTTAGTGAAAGATTCAACTTTCCACCACCTAAATATGGAGAAATCAACAATCAAAAGAGCAATTTATTAACACTTCGTGCTCAAAAAGCGTTGATGAATCAGAATCAGGGTTTCAAAAACGATTCATATAGGAAAGAATATAGAAATAAAGATCATCGAGAAATGGAGAGTACTGTACAACAAATCCAAGTATGTACGATGAATTGGCGCTAAACACTAACTCTGTTATAGCGATTTTACAAATGTAGTTGTGAAATAAGATATATCAAGCAACATATAATAGGTTCTTTTCAGGGCACTCATAGTCATACTAAAGAGTATAAACAGAGAGAATCCCGCTCAAATTCCTATTGCTACACAAAACACAAGCTCCTGCTGCAGTTAACAAATAACATTTATTATATAAGACCACCTAGTCCTACGTCACCATTGCGTACAACCCCATAGGGTTTTAGTTTTTTGGCACATACGAAGGGTTAAACCACAGAAACTCGTGGAGCTACCACAACTCAGCGTCTGCATCTCAAATCGTGCTACGTCCGGAGGCCATAAAATCTGTTCCTAATGTATTCATAAATCGTTTATTCAAAAGGTAATTACGTCTTGTGTGCAAACGATTCACAAGTCATTATTGGAAAAGCCATTAAAATGTTCACCCCATCTCATCAGAATCATCCATGTTCTGCTTTCACACTTCCTAATTCATAAACAGGTAAAAACGTCACTGCTTATGATTGATTATTTTTATGTAGCATACAAAAACATCCATCGACAAGAAATGGCATCATTAAAGGCCAAAAGAAACGGCATTAAGCCATTCGGTGAAAAAAAACTGGGGCCTTCAACGATGATGATGATGAACAGTTCACTCGAACGGCTCGTGTACGGTGAAGGCTCTCTCTCACCCTGGCTAAAATTTCACGTGCGCCTTCAATGACGACGGTCACAAACAGAAGAAGCGTTGGCGTCGGTCTTAAAACAACTAAAGTAAAAAGTAAATTTTCCCATCACATGTGAAACCATTTCAGTTTAACACGACTGACGGGCGTGACTGTTGCTGAACGACTTGAACCGCTCGCATTCGATCAAAACTGGCAAAAAGCGCTCCGGAAATGAGGAATGCTGTGTGCATGTGGTTACTTACTCGTATTAAGGTACCACCACAACTCTGCAAATTATGATGGAATGCGATGGGGCGTTTATATTCCTTGCTGCGGGGATGGAACCGCGGCGAGGCGTGAAATGTGCTCAGTCATTTTAAAATGAGTCAAGAATGTTTGGGGGTGGGTGGAGGAAAAGGCTTTCCAGGCAAAGTGCGATCGACTCGACTCTAAAAATAATCGACTAATTCGCTATAAAACTCAGCTGGTTGTGAATCATTGGCTTAGCTAATGGGAGTGCCTAGAGGGCCAAAATTGGTTATATAATTTAAATCAAATCAACAAGAAACATCTGGAGGGGCCTGGATCATTCTGGAGGAGGTCAGACACCCTAGGAACCCCCGCTAGCTCCGTCAATGGTTTTGATGCAAACACTTTAATCAATATTTATAAGCACCATGTGGCCCATGTAAGCCAAAACTAGGCCAATTTCGCCTCACTTCGATACTGCCTCGGGCCGTTTCCGCCATTGCCGTCGGTGGGTAAAGTGAGCTGCAGCACCTAATAATGTTCAACTTTTCGCCCGAGTGTGCTAATGAAGAGGAGAAAACTTTTCCCAACTCCACCCACCTTTTTCAAATGCACGCTGCCCGCCCGCACTGCCCACAGCACGAGACTTCCAGAGAACAGCAAACCCCAGCCCAAGGCAAGGCATCCGAGAACAAAAGAAAATTATGTATTTATCAGCAACAAACTTTCTTCCAGTCGGATATTTTGCATCCTGCTTTTGGTGGTTGATTTTCTGGGCTGGGCTGGCCTGGCCTGGCCTGGCACTAAGCCGTTGGGGTTGGTTGGCTGGCTTGCTGGAACTTAATCAAACAATTCGCGCAGAAGGTGAACCTAAATGTTTGCAAATATTTTAAAAGCCACCCACCCTTTCCAGCTTATACCTGCCCAAGTGAAAGACAAGGTCAAGGAAAGCTGCAAACTTCTTGTGCACTAATTCCTATCGAAATGTTGCCGAAGTTTTTCATTTTATGAACAAAACAGACATACGCCCAGCATAGAGAGAGAGTAATCATCCAGCCAGACCTTGCTCGGTACGTTTGCCAGCTGGTGTAGGATCCGGTAGCAGCTGTTCGAGGGAATCAAACATGGAAAATCCCTCCGGCTAGCATTCTACAAGCACTGAAACTCTCTTGTTCAAACAAACAATGCATCTCAAGAATCATGCTCAAGTTCTCGATTCCTGATTGCTTCTGGCTTGGTTTTGGAACAGGAACATCAGGAGAAATATTCATATGTAGGTACGTTGATGATGGGTGCCTTTGTGGTCCGGTTGTTGGTAAAGGAATAAGGGAGCTCGAAAATGTGTTCAAAAGTAATGTTATCGAAAAATGCCAAGTGTGTTGCATGCAGATGGAGAGCTTTGGGGAGTTTGTGCTGGGAAGTTTTATCAAGGGTGATCTTCTCAGCATTTGGAAGAAGATTGCAAAAAGGTGAAGCTTATGAAAGGAAAGCCGTTGGTAAGCTATGTTTGTTGTGATTTCGAGACTAATAATTATTGGAAATTTTTCATATTTCGTTAATCGATTTTGAATTTGTGCTTCTCCGAAGTAGGAACTAACGTAGAATTCTTCTAGTGGAATCAGATAAACGTGGTAGTAGTAACTTCCCAATGCCCAATTTATTCTATCCAAGCTTACATACACAAAGTCGCAGTCTACTTACAGCATAAATCTACCGAAGAGCTTTACGTTCTAAAACCTAAACTAGCCCTGATTTAAATATAATTAAATATATCTCCTAATGACAAAATGACAAACGATCAACGAGCCGAATGATAATGCCATGTCAGAAAAGGAATGCAATTAAATATATAATCTTCTTCCCTGTTTTTCATGACAAACTGCCTTTGGAGTATCACTCGCTCGGACCGGTAGAAGGAAACGATCAAATTGTTTCCAAGCTGCTTCACGAAGTAACGCCGAAGATGATACACGTGTGATAATGGGAAAATCGACCGCGTTACGAAAAGTGGTCAGGCTTCGACCACTTAT